GGTGGTGTTATCAATGCCTAATAGAGAATATAATGATGTTATTGGTGATGATGTCTTAGGTGATGTGAGAATTGAGTGTGAGCCATTTACTAGGGGGATGCCAAATGTTGACACATTTGATGAAGTGGTGGTTGGGTTAGGGAGTCAAAATATTCGAGATGGGTGTGAAGATATATGGGTTGAATGATGCTTTTAATTGGCAGTGTATGACATTAATTTTGTAATATATTGTAATGTGATTTCTTCACTTTCATTATACAGGTTTTGGCCACAAAACAATCAGAACAAAAATTACTGGTTCCAGATTACAAAACACGACGGTTTTGATAAAAATGTGAAAAACAAACGTCTGTTCTAATAAATAACGACGTTTTGGAGCATTCAACGACCGCAATATATTTACCGACGTCTTAAAGCAAAGTAACAATGCTAAACCACGACGCTATTGTGAAACAGTAATCCAGGATAACACGTCGGACAAGCATAAAGAACCGCCATGTAATTCAAAATAACACGACTCCAATCCCATAACACCGACATCTTAAAGACGAGAACTTTAACCTGAACGTTACAAAAGACGACGTCGTCATGAATTTACCACGTCGCATGTTCTTTAATAAACGAAGTGGAAAAGGATGAATTCACGACGGTATTTGAAGTCCATTAAATTCGTCGACGTTAAGATTTATGAATTAGACGACGTTAATTTTTTTAATGAAGACGTATAAATTATTAAACACGACGGTCTTTTTCATGGTACCGACGTTGTATATAGACGACAACGTCGTCCTTATAAATTACTGTGTCGTAATTAATGACCCCATCATTTTTTCCACGTCGTTTATTTTCAAAATATGACGTATAAATTCTGTAATACGGCTCTCATTTATTTGAAACCGACGTTATTTATCAATTCAACGTCGTCTCTGTAAATACATGCGTCGTAAGTAATGACCCTGAGATCTATTTCCACGTCATAATTCATAGAAAAATCGAAGTGGAAAATTTATTTTACGACGGTTGTGGGAAATGTTGTGACGTAGTAGGTGTCAATAACGTCGTCTATTATTATTGTAAAGACGTCGTATTTATATTTGTCGTTAAATATTTGTTTAACGGCGTCAAGTTTAAGTTCTCGTCGTTGTATGTTTATCTTGCGGCCATGTTCTGTTAATATATGTCATCTGTTTCCTTTTTAACGACGTTTTTTTTGTTGGAGTTGGTCGTCTATTCTCATCCTCGACCCTTTTTTTTATGTCTTTTTGCAGCACAAAGACGTCGGTTTTTATTTTTTGATGACGTTTTTTGTTTTAACAACGACGGTTATTCACCGTCGTGGTTTGGTTATGGAAAAGATGTCGGTGGATTCCACGACCATTTGAAAACAGAATACACGACGGTGAATTCCCGTCGTGGTTTTCCTTTTTTGTAGTAGTGATCATAAATATATAAATTGATTGAAAGCGTGATAGATGTGCAGCACTAAAAAAAAAAAGGAGGGTTATTGCAAGCTCTTTGGACCAGCCCAAGCTAAAGAGGGCAGCCCATTCTACACACTTCTCCAGCCTAGCCAGCACGCAGCCCAGTATGCCCACTCCTCCAAGCCCAACCATGGCCCAAAGTCTAGCTCATGGCCCAGTGAGCAAGCCCAAGCCTGCAGGCTCCGGCCCAGCTAGAGTCCAACACACATCCCAGCTCGCGTTTCAACCTGCTCCAAGCCCAGGCCCGTGTCGAATCACTTCTGCATTCAGCTCCAACGCAAGCCCACATCTCGCCAAGGCCCAGCGTCGCCTCTCCTAGTGCGAGCCCACGTCGCACACCAAGGCCAGCACCTCTAAGCTTCCACTTCGAGCCCAGCCCCTCCTTTCCTAGTGTGAGCCCACTTCGCGCACCAGGCCCGGCGTCTCCCCGCCTCAGCGCACACATGGTTGAATCTACCAACCCTTCCACCCTCCACTCTTGTTTTTAAAAAAAAAAAAAAAAAAGAAGCTGACGCAAGAACATAACGAAACAAAGAATGGGTTCAAGCTTACCAACAAGTTTCTTGATAGACCAACAGGTGGGTTCTTGCGGCTGTTGAGAATTCAGATGATGCAAACTTCAAAGTCGTAGACTTTCTTGCCAACAAGTGGAGTCTTTGTTGTTCTATTCGGTTAATCTCAATAACCATGAGAGTAGAGCAATTTAAAGAAGCCAAAGGCCATTAAAGCTCCTAGTGGTGCTAGGGTTTCTTATTCCTAGTTTAGGAAAATATTGGATTTTGTATCTTGCTTCCCAAGATCAATATTGGATATTATTAGGCTTAATAATATCACCCAAAAAAAAAACGTTGAAAGTAGAAAGCCAACATTGTATATAGAGTGATCAATATGGAATGTTATTAAGCTTAATAATATTGCTTCCAAATAATTTTTTTTTATTTTTAAAAAAGGGTAACTTTCAATGCTCCACGTTGGAAGAAATCCAAATTAAGGAGTAACACTTCAAGTTGCACCTCCTACATGTGACAAGCACATATCTACAGTGCATCATGAAGTGGGGGCAATTTGTAGACAAAGAAATTTTGACGCAATAAATTCCATTGGATAATAAAATAATTAGGGTTCGGCGGATTGAATTGTGGGCCCTATAATTCGCCCATGTGGCGTATGACTCACCAAAATCGAATTAGCTATCAAAAGTGACATGTGTCGACATCCGACGGAATGCATCAAACGGTTCAAAGTGAAGACAAAATTAAGGAAAAGAATCTTCTGTAATTGACTTTGATTTAAATCAAATATTAATCAAGTTAATCAATCAAAGATAATTTGGTTAAATTGCCAGATTTTTTTGGAATTGATTTTAAATCAAATCAGAATTCCACGAAGGAAGGTTTTAAAGAGGAAAAGTTATTTAGGTCAAGCATCCTCCAGGAGCCTATAAATAGGAGGCCTCAAGGGAAAAAGGGAGCTTAGAGATACCAAGGATTTAGAAGAAACAAGAAACTCTCTGCATTCTTCACCTCACTTTGGAAGAGCCACCAAGCACAACAAATACGTGCTGGTTCCTCCACCCTAGAAAAATCCAAACACCAAACAAGCCCTGTGCTACCCGTTTGATCAAGATCAAGTCTCTACGACCCTTGTATCAAACACATTTATACACATTGGAGATTGAATCGGAGGATTCAATAAAGAGATTGTAACCTTAAATTTCATAAATACAAATATTATTTTGTACACGTGTTTTTGTCTCATTTGTCGCAGGAAATTCGTGTTTACACCTATCAAAAATATTTTAATATTTTAAAGGGAGATTCACTATTATACATAACATAGGAGTCCAAATTATTAAAAAAAAACCTATATGAAATGGATCTTAGAAACGCAAAGCCCATTTACAACATAACAAAAAGACTTTTAACTTCTTTTAAATTACAAAATTTCTTTTAATTTATTAAAACAAACTCAACCACAAAACCTCATAAAAAAAAGCCCAAAACACTCAAGAGGGCATCAAAGTAATTTAATAATCAAAATTAAACTCAATAGGGCTAGCTGTCATTTTTTGGGTTTTTTTGGGGTTTGTTTATAGAAATTAAATGGTGTAGGGTTTATCTATATTATTAGTGCTAAGAATGAGTATATGACTAAATATCTCTATTTTAAATTAGGCTTCTATATATGAGATAGATGCAAAAGTGAAACCCAATATTAATAGAGTTATTTACATTAACACCCCTTCAAGTTTTCGGCTTTTCATAAAACTCCTTAAGGTTTCGGAAATTACAGGAACACCGCCTGCGGTTTCAGATTGTTTTCAAAAATCCCTTTTTGTTGATTGTTCGTCAAAAACTTGATGATTTCATCCTTAAAAGCATATGTAAATGACAAAATCAACCTCAATGAATGCATGAGCAATCGGAGAATTTTTTATATATAAAAAATCATCAATTTTTGAATGAAAAATCAACGAAAATGAGTTTTGTGAAAACAATTTAAAACCTCATGGGGTGCTCGTGTAATTTCCAAAACCTCAAGGGGGGTTTTGTGAAAAAGTTGAAAACCTGAGGAGGTGTTAGTGTAAATAACTCATATGAATATAACGAATTGGGCACCTTGTTGATGATTGCCTATCACAATTGTTGTTTGGTGCTATGTGACTGGACTTATTAAATTGGAGAACAGTCTCACCGTACCTAAAAGGATGGGACTCAAAAGGACTCGATTGAACTCAACTCTAATTTAATTAGCCGGACCACCAAATAAGGCCTTAAGTTTTAAGGGATTAGATTTGAGAGGTCCAAATTCAAATCATATTGTTTGGGTCTATTCTTAGTAAACGGATCTAAATGTGGCTTAAATATTCCACTTCAAATTTGATATGTCGAATGTGAATGATTTCTAGAACTAGGAATTTGAGTGGATTTTACAAGTGGGATGCACCTCTCTCTCATCCTTTTCTCTCCCATCTTATTCCGAGCTAGTGTACCATTCAATGTACTTTAGGATAGGTGCATTAGATCTCTCCAACTTACTACACTAGTTTTTTAAATAAAAATAAAATATTTCTATATGTCCTATACAAAAACTATTGGGCTAACGACAAAAGATCCCCTGAAGGTTTGGGGTCATTCTCAATATGGATCCCAGGGTTTCAATTTCATCAATTTACACCCCCAATATTTTTAAGGGAGCTTCACTAATATAACCAAAATAGGAGCTGAAATTATAAATATTTTTTTTTTAAAAAAACCCACATGAAATGCACTTTAGAAACACACCCAAAATCCATTTACTATATAAAAAATGAGTGTTGAAGTTCTTATAAATTACATGACTGCCATTGAAAAACTTAAAATAAGCCCAATACAAAAAACTCAAAAAAAAAAACCCAAAATAAGCCCAACTAGCACGAAGTACATTGTTAATACCATATCATAGAAGTATATTGTTAATATCATGTCATAGAAGTACAGTGTTAATATTATTTCATACAAAAAACTCAACAACAAAAAAACCCAAAAAAGCCCAGCAAGACATTTGATATCTTTTGCAGAAACCACATCCAATTGTTCACAATTTCACCGAAAACAATCGCAAAGGCATAAGGAAATACCTGTACAAGAAAAAAAAAATACATTGTTAATACTATGTTATAGAACAATGTTCCTAGAAAAAATCACATTATGCATATCATAAACTTCGAGTGCATAACTATATATAGAGCAAAATATAGAGCATACTTTGTTACTAAAAATCTGTTAATACTATATAGAGCATGCTTTGTTACTGAAAATCTATTAATACTATATAGAGCATGCTTTGTTATTGTAAATCTGTTAATACTATATAGAGCATGCTTTGTTACTGAAAATCTGTTAATACTTTGTCATAGAAGTACACTATTAATACTATGTCATAAAAGTCAACTCAGTTGCAGGGTATGAACAATATAACAACTGTTCATACCACTTACTAGAAGTAAACAACTGTTCATATCACTTACTGGAAGTTAACAACTACATCATTTCATTTGCATAATAGGTACAATAAAGAATCCAAATAGTACCAAACATCAAAACCAAGTCAACACTAAACATTGTTTTGTGCATAATGTAAATGATTACCTGGCATTGGTGTGTATCAGTCCCAATTGATCAATAATTAAAATGATTACTTGAGCATCAATGTCAAGGTCCACCTCATCAGCAGTAGCCTGGAAACCTGGATTATTTTGTGCAACAATATCTAATGCCTTGCTGAGATCATCAGGCGACAATATGGCAAGGGCTACCCCAAGTTTTCTCTTCTCTTCAATCGACATTTTTCTGAAACAATGTTTTCAAGATAAGATATGGTTGCTGGAGAAGCATTCATATGCAACTATGTTCATGCACAAAAACACACAGAGTTGCTCTTTCTGTCCACATGCACTCGCACATTGCCATAGCATGCAAACACACATCAATAATACAGATTTTACAAATAAATTTTTATTTCATTGCATCAATAGGTAGATGTAAAACATATTAAACTAAGATACAATGTTACTGAACAACCTGCACTTCTGAACAACCATTTCTTAGAGTTCTTCCAAATGCATATCAACCTCATAAAGCTGAAAACAAGAGATCATAACATAGTCCATTATAAGTTTAGTCGTTGAAATAAACTATATCTACAAAGGCTTCCATTCAATGTTAGTCATATGCATATAATAAGGTTTGAAGTCATAAATCAGCAAAAAAATAGTTAAACAAGATGCTTTAGTTTATCTCTATATACCAAACAAACAACATTACTGAACCCCAAATCATATTACACTATCTGTTCAAGAAAGAGCACATCATGTTGGGATATACCTCTTCAATAACTTTAGGAAGAAGCTAAGCCACTTGTCCACCAATAACCTAGATCACTGAGAATCTAAATCCAAGAACAGTAATAAGAGGAGTTCTTAGCTCCATCTCCGTCCGAGATTGACGAATGTTATCCAACGATCTCTGCCTTCTTTGCCGGGCTCATTCTGCCAGAGGAGTTTTTAGCTCCATCTCCGTCCGAGGTTGCTGTGGTTGACATCGCTTGAATTTGACGGTGCTAGAGAAGGAATTGGAGGCGTGTCGTCAGCCGACGGAGATTAAGACGGAGATGATTGCGATGGCGCCAGAGGTGAAGAAGGAGGTGGTTCGTTAACCTAGCCATTGTTGAAGAAGAAGAAAGTTTGAGATGCTCGTTGATGAAGATTGAGTTTATTAATAGACAATGAAAAAGGGCAAAACAGTAATCAAACAGGGTTTTGAATTTAAGAAATCAATACTGGTTAATTTTTGGGTTTATTTTGGGTGTGTTTATATACAGGGTTTCTTTATAGAACTATGTCTAGGAATGGGTATTTAACTAATTTTGTATATTTTTAAACCTAACCAATTTAAACCTTCTGTTAAGTTGACCGTGTGGTCAACCATTAACTACTGACGTGGCAACTGTTGAACCCACCCATGAACTGACTTGCCAACTCCCCTTAATATTTTTTAAAAATCAATAATATTAATTTTTTTAATCATTTTATATTATTGATTTTAAAAAATTATATTAAATGGAGTTGGCCAGTCAATTCATGGGTGGGTCCTACAGTAGTCACGTTTGTGCAACCTTGGCATTCTACTTGGAGAATTCGGTGTCTTCCATGTCTTCATCAACTATCATGATTCTCAATAAGTCCTTCATGAATTAATTTATTTTACTAGGGCTACGATGTAGCCTAGCTATGAATACTCAAATTCTTTGATATTGTTAATTTTATTTATCTATACATGTTGAGTGGGATTAGCTAGGTGAAATCAGTGCTCTAGTGCTTTATCATCTTTGTTTTCATCTTTTACATTGTTTACTTGATCTCAATTTACTTTACTTGCTTAATTAGATTTTAATCATCATAATTCTCTTTTCGTTTAAATTCAAATATAATTAGATATAAATCACGCTAATATTTAATAGATTACTTGATCCCTGTTGGAACTAATACTCTACTTACTACTATATTAATTTGAGGGATATTGTCCACTTGGAATTAATCACATGAAATTTTGGCACCATTGCCGGGGATTGACTTACTCTGTTAATATTAGTGTGCTTTATTTTCTAGTTATACTTTGAATATTTAAATAGTTAATTTTTTTTTTAAATTTTATTTCAGGTACTTCTTTAGTGTGCTTACTACTATATTAACGTGAGAGATTCAGACCACAAACAAATCAAAAGGAAACAACAAAACACCAGCCCACAAACATCCAGCTTGCAAGAAAGAGAAGAAAAAAAAAAGAAAAAAAAAAGGGAAACAAGGAGTTTTTTCACGCAGCCATCAGGAATTCAATTCCCATTTCAATTCAACTCCCTTTTTCCTGTTAAAATTAAAACTTTCCAATTTCCTTTGGGTTTTACAATTAAAGTTTTTTTTCTTTTCCTAATTGTGTTTTGGTTTTGTTTCCTCTTTTAATTATGTTATTCGCTCCTTATTTAAACAATCCTTTGTCCTTGTTTGCGGGTACAACAACTTCGTTTCTGAGCATATGGTTAATGACTGGTACCCGCTCTTCTACTAGCCAACTAGTTGAATTAGAACCTGAGATTGAACAAAAGCTTCGAGCAATTCGTAAGAGTCAAAAACAAGACAGAGAGAAGAAGATTCAACAAGGAGAAGACGAGATGGCCCTTATACAGAATGAAACAATGGGAGACCTTGATATTCCAACAATTCCGACGTCACCTTCAAGCATCATTCTCCCTGCAGCTGCCAGGAATTATGAATTGAAAAATATCCATTTTAATATGATGCCTTCTTTTCATGGATTAAGTTCTGAAGATCCTTTAGCTGATATTAGAGATATTTTTAACATGGTTTCTAGCATGGCTTTGACAGAGGGAGTCACCGAAGCACATCTCAGGATGAAAGTCTTTTCTTACACATTGAAAGATAAAGCAAAAACGTAGCTCAATTCCTTAAGACCTGGATTATTGACTAGCTGGACAGAGGTTCAAAACAAGTTCTTGGTGAAGTTCTTTTCGACTCAGAAAACTAATGCATTAAGGGATAAAATCATGCAATTCAGTCAACAGCCCGATGAGTCATTTTCATAAGCTTGGGAACGGTTCAATAATTTTTTTAATACAGTGTCCTCACCATGGTTTGCCTACTCTAGTTCTCATGCATATTTTTTATAAGGCACTAACCGTTTTCGAGTAAGGCTGCAGTGAACAACTATGCAGGTGGATCTATTAAGAACAAGACACCAATTGAATGTCAAACTTTGTTTGATACACTAGGAATTGAAACACAGCATTATAATACAAGAGGTAAGCGTGCTGGAATTTATGAAATTGGTAGTTCTAATGCTTTTGCTTCTAAATAGCAGGTTGACGTCATAACCAGTAAATTGGATGCCTTGCTTGCCATGAATGGGAGAGCACCAACACAAGAGATTTGCTCCATTTGTGCTGTTCCTGGTCATGCCACTAGATCTTGTCCTCATGGGGTTGATTTTCCAGAATTTCTGCAAGAAAAAGCCAATATGGTGAATACCTATAGACGTCTTGGCAATGATCCATTCTCTAACACACACAATTCGGGATGGGAAAGGCACCCTAATTTTTCATGGAGCAATACTCAGAACGTACAACAACCACCACTGGGGTTTCCACCTCAAGAGAAGAAAATAAATTTGGAAGATGCTCTTACTCAGTTAACTATGTCTACCACCCAATTTAAGACTGAAACCAAAACCCAACTTCAGAATCAGAGCACTTCTATTTGGAACTTGGAGATGAAAGTAGGCCAACTAGCTACTATATAGAGTGAAAGAAGCCAAGGAGTATTGCCAAGCCAAACCGATATTTATCCGAAAATTCAAGAACATGTGAAGGCGATCACACTTTAAAATGGGAGACCCATCAAAACTGCTGTAGATTTGGACGCAGAAAAGCACCACCAATAGTTGAAAGAAACGGAAAAAACTGAAGACAATAGCCTACATACCGTCATGAGCTCCATCGAAAATTCAGCAAAAACTGAGCAACCACCATCCAAAAATCTCACTTCAAAATCCTATGTTCCACCGATTCCTTTTCCACAACGCTTGAAGAAAAATAAGAAGGATGCATAGTTCTCCAAATTTCTTGAAATTTTTAGGAAATTGCAAATTACCATTCCATTTAGTGAAGAATAGAGCAAATGCCAAACTATGGAAAGTTCATCAAGGACATCTTAAGCAAAAAGAGACATTTGGAAGATACAGAGATGGTGGAATTGACGGAGGAGTGTAGCCCAGTAATACAAAGTCATCTACCACCTAAGCAAAAGGATCCAGGGAGGTTTTCTATTCCTTGCACCATTGGCACTGTTTCTTTTCAAAGAGCATTGTGTGATCTAGGTTCTAGTATTAATTTAATGCCTTTTTCTGTACCTAAAAGAATTGGTTTCGGGAAAATTAAGAAATCTAATATTTCTTTAGATGGCTAATAGATCACTTACATATCCTGATGGCATTCTTGAAGATGTACTAGTGAAAGGTGGATAAATATATATTCCCAGCTGATTTCATAGTTTTGGATATGGAAGAAGATGTCGACATTCCAATTATTTTAGGCCTCCCATTTCTCATTACAGGAAGAATGATAATTGTTGTAGAAAAAGGTTCTTTCATCCTACGAGATGCTGAGCAAGAGGTGGAATTCAAAGTTTTTGATGCAACCACGTGCCTCATTGATTCATAGTATTGTTTCCATTTAGAAGCAGTACATCATGTTGTTCGACCACAATTCATAGCGGACTACCCAAAAGATCCACTAAAAGAAAGTTTGGTTCATGAGATAGAGGTAGGAGAGGGGCCACACGTGCTAAAAATGGTGAACTCATTCGAAACCAAGGCCATCCCAAGCACCATTGCTGCACCAACCCTCACTTTGCAAAGATACTTGGAAAAAATTTGTAATCAACAAAAGGAAACCTTCACTCTCCATGATCCTGGGTGATAATCATTCCAAAAGTCAGGTTGGAGACTATAAACCAAGTGCTTGTTGGGAGGCAACCCAACTAGGTGCCTTCGTTCCTTTTTTTTTTTTTTTTTTTCTCTCTTTATTTTCCATCCTTCTTTGCCTTAACTAATTGCTACATGCATTTCCTTTAAACATTGAGGACAATGCTTAGTTCAGGTTTGGGGGTGTGTAGAGTCATAAAAAAAAAAAAAAAAAGATTTTGTGTTCCAAAGAAAGGATTTTGTGTTTCAAAGAACATTTCCCGAATTTTTCTAACCCCATGATGATTGTAAACATGTTACAGATGTTGTTTTGGTCATTAGATGAGAAAATAGCAAAAGAGGTTATTATGTTCTTATTTTGGTCAAAATCAAAATTTTTGCCTATTTTCCTTTTTGATGTTTTTCAAGTAAATTTGAAGCCACCAACATGTTTAGAATGGTTATTTTGATGATTTGAAATAGGTTTGCGGGTCTCAAGTGGTTTACATGACATTTTAGGAAGATTTGAAGCTAAAAAAGTGGCCTAAAACCCAAAAAAGGCTAGCTATGAAGGTCACAAAAGGGTTTTCAGCGGCGGTGTTCATCAGATTTTTCGTTGCTAAAGGGTTTTCAGCGACGGTGTTCATCAGATTTTTCGTCACTAAAGGTCAATTTTCCAGAATTTTCTAATTTCATTCCAAATCAATTACGATCCATTCCATTCGCAATCAGAGGTTTCTAGGAGCTATTCTAGGTGTGTCCTCTTCCTTTTGATGAAATTTCGTTATTCCTAAGCAATTGGGGCTCATAAATTCACTCATATTTGTTTGCAAAATCACAAAATTCCTTTAACTTTTGAAAAAATAAAAATTTGTTAAAGCCTGTACTTTCTCTTACTAATAGTAATGTATACGTAATGTTTGATCATATTTCTTTAACTAAAGTGTTGCCATGAAAGTTTATGCATCATAATTATAGCACTTCACATAGTCATACTTCAAGTATTTTGATGAACAAGGTAGCTATACTTGGATGATTGTGGAGAAATAGTGGAGACTACCATTGTAAGATACTTTAGCCAAATTTCCATTCATTGAGAGAGTATTTGGATTATTCTTATTCACTATTTTCTTTCTTTCTTATTTAGACTGATCTCAAGTAGGCTTTTGAATTGAAT